ATATGTATTTAGGAATATATCCATTTCTTCTGAAATTTCCATTTTATTAGAATATAGGTTCTCAAAGTAGTTACCAATGATCTTTTGGATTTTGGCAGAATCTGTTGTGATTTTGCTTCTTGCATTTCCAGTTGTATGGATTTGGGTCTTTTCTTTCCCTATTTTGATAAGCTTGGCTATGGGTTTGTCTATTTTATTTAATTTTTCAAAGAGCCAACTTTTCAAATCACTGATTCTTTGTATCTTTTTAGTCTCCATTTCATTATTTTCTGCTCTGATCTTAATAGTTTCTTTCCTCATACTACCTTTGGGTTTGGATTGTTCTTGTTTTTCAAGGACTTTGAAGGGCATCACTCGATTATTTGTATGAGCTCACTGTCATTCTGATGTGGGAATTCACTACTATGTACTTCCCTCTTAGGACTGCTTTCATTGTGTCCAGTATGTTCAGGTATGTCATACTGGCATTATCATTTGATTGTAGCAACTGTCTAAGTTCTTCTCTAATTTCACCTCTTGTAACCCACTGATTACTCAAGATTGATTACTAAAGTTCTTCTTTAATTTCACCTCTTGTAACCCATTGATTACTCAAGAGGGTATTATTTAACATCCATGTGTTTGCATACTTTCTGTGGTATCTTTTGCCACTGATTTCTAGTTTCATTGCATTATGATCTGAAAATATGCGTGGAATAGTTTCAATTCTTTTGCATTTACATAAGCATGCTTTACTGGTGTGTGGTCTATCTTAAAGAAGGTCCCATGTGCTGCTAAGAATGTACATTCTGTTGTTGAGTGGAATATTCAGTAGATATCTATTAAGTCCATTTATTCAAAGGTTTGGTTCAACTCTGGTATTTCTTTGTTGATTTTTATGTAGTTGATCTGTCCACTTGTGATAGTGGGGTATTGAGAACTCCCATTACAACTGTAATTGGTACTCTTTTGATTTTTCATGCCCATTAGAGTTTGTTTTATGAAGCTGGTGCACTGGTATTTGGTCCATATATATTTATAATTGTTATCTCTTCCTTTTGACTTGTATCCTTAACCAATATGTAGTAACTTCCTTTGTCTCTTCTGATGAGTCTTAGGCTTGAAATCCACTTTGTCTGCACCTAGGATAGCTACTCCTCCTTTTTTTCAGGTTTCTTTTAGATGGAATATTGATTTCCATCCTTTGATTGACTTTCAGTCTATGAATTTCACTTTGGTTAAATGTATTTCTTGCATATAGCATAATATTGGATCACGTTTCTTGATCTATTCTGCTAATCTGTGTCTTTTGATTGATGAATTGAGATCATTCACCTTAATGGTTATAACTGATAGGTATTGATGTAGCCCTGTTATTTTTATGCTGCTGATTCCCTTTCTTTCTCTTCTACCTAAGTGCTCACCCACACTGATGGATTCGTATCAGTTCTGGAAGACAACTTTGTGTGATATATGAGTTTGGGTTGGAAGCTGTCTTCTTTTAGGCCTTGAAACAATTCACTCCCAGCTCTCCTTTCCTTTAGGGTTTGGGTTGAGAAAGCTACTGTAATTCTGATGGGTTTTCCTTTATAAGTGATTTGTTTGTTTTCTCTAACAGCTTTTATAATTCTGTCCTTGTGCTGAGTTTCTAGAACCTTGACTATGATATGTCTTGGTCTGTTTGAAACCTTGACTATGATATGTCTGGTCATGGCTATTTGGGGTTCTATATACCTGTTATGATTTATGTCTAGATGTCCCTCCAAAGCCTCACACAGTTTTAGATGGGGCTTTTTCAGAGGCAGTTGAGTCCAGAGTTTGAGAATGATTCATGGTTCGATGCTAGGGTTAAGAATGCTGGAATAAAGGGTGGGTGACTGCTGGATCAGTCCATTGATTGGACTGGCACCGCCCTAATCCCAGTAGACTGGAGGCAATGTAAGAGACAGAAAGAGGCTTGTCTCTCTTCCTTTCTCTTGCTGCTTTTGCCATTTTCTGCTGCCTTGAGCTGCTGCCCCTTTGCCATGTGTAGCCAGCCAATTATGGACTGAAATCTCAAAAAACTGTGAGGTAAATAAACCTTTCCTCCCTTACTTTTGGGCATTAGGTATTTTGTCTCAGCAATGAGAAAAGTAACTAGACAATGCCTTACTTATCTATCTGTCAAACTCTTTTGCTATGCCTAGGGAGTTTTCTGCTATAACTTCTGTAAACAGGTTTTTTTTTTAAACGCCATTTGTGCCATCTTCTGATTTTTCATTAATTCTAATTAATCAATCTTAGCTTGGTCTTCTTTGCAGGATCTAGAAGTTGCTGGATCTATTTTTAATGTGTCCTTGTTATTTATAAGGTGTTTCTCCTTAGCTGATTGCCAAACAGAAGCCTTGTCTAGACCTGACACTCTGTCCTCACAGACAGGTTGATCCTGATGCTCATACTTTCAGTAAAAAATTAAATCTCCTGGATTTCTGTTTGGAACTTTTTATGAATTTCAATTCTTTTCTATGCTGGGCATTCTGGTTTGCATTTCTTTCTTTAGCATCTCTGATTTTTTATTAGTGTCTTTCTAGACTTGCTGACCATTTGTTTTATTAGGATCATTATCTCCTTAATTCTATCTCCTTTGAATTTGCCAAACATCTTATGAATCTGTTTTGTTAACTCCACTGTTACCATTTCAGATATTTACCTGTGTGGCTTTTGATTCCTTCTCCTACAACACTCCCTGTATTTGTTCTGGGAGAGGTGGAGCTTTTGGAGGCATTTTACTGCTTCATTTTCTCATTTGCTATTTTTTCTTTGTTTTCTGTGCTGAGTTTTGGAGATTGATTATTGTGGGTACCTATTTTGCTAGTTGTGAGACCTCTTTAGTTACTGTCTGCTTTTCAGAGATGCCCTCTGGGCAAACCTAGCTATTGGTCTCTGGCTCTGTCCCAGGATCCAGCTACCTCCGTCTATTTGGAAGGAGAGGTTGTAGTTTATTTGGCCCCGTACCAAGTTCTTTAGCAATGAGCTGCAGTACTATTTATGACCCTTAGGCAATCCAGATACTGACTTACAGCAAAAACCAGTTGACAGCAACAACCATGTTAACTTGGCTAAAATGGTGAAAGCAGCAGCAACAATAGCGTCAAATACAAACTAGATATTGACAGACCCTAAGAATTAATAATATACTACCCTTACCCATAGAAACAAGAGCTTTTGTTAGAGTACAAACTCTAAGACAAACCAGATATTGATATACATTAAATGTCTACTCAATAGAGCAATTTTACCTCAAATACCATCAGAATAGTATCAAAAGATAGAATGATATAAATATAGTTAACTATCTTCAGATCTATAGAAGTTGATGGTTATACTAAAAAGGACAGAGGCTGAGGGAAAGAGAAGCATGAAAAGAATAGAATTTGAAAAATTAAGCAATGGAAAATGGGAAGGTGATAAAGTTAAAATAAAAGATCCTAGTAAAAAGTAGAAGAAAGTTAGTAGTATTAGGTAACAGTAACAGGAAAAAAACCAAGCAAAAGGATAATAAAAATAGAGAAAAAATAATAAGGAAACAAACTGAAAGAGAGATATTGAGAAAAGAAAAGAGAGGGACTAAAAAGAGGACCTAATTCAACCAATAAAGCAAGTAATAATAAAAAAAGAAGGGTAAAGAAAATGAGTGATAGATCTCCAAACTCCACCCCACCAAAATAAATAAATAACAATACGGTGGAAAAAAACTGGGTTAAAAGGAGAGGAAAAAAATTCCTACGTATTTCCAAATGAGTATTTTTCTTCTAAACCAACCAGCCAATTCCTCTCCTTCCCTCTGGGTAGCCTGTGGGTTTGCGTGGTGACACCTCTGTTCAAGGTGTAGATGCTAGCAGGCCGGAGACCAGCACTGGGGGCCAGATGGAGACTCTGGTGGGCGTGAGACTGGCCTGCGTGCTGGGCAGACTCTGGAGGGTCAGGGTCACTCAGCAGAGACCCAGATGTGCCCACCACTGTTGTGGGGTACAAGATGGAGATCCAGTGCACCCACACAGGGGACAGGGTACCTGGTGCTGAGTGGGGATTCCACAGGCCTGGGGTACCAGGCAGAGATTCATATGGGCCTGGGGTGCTCCGTGGAGACCCTGGCTGCCCAGGACTGGAGCTGTATGCCAGTCAGACTCTGATGGGCCCAGGGAAGGTGCAGGGCAGTGAGCGCTGGGTAGAGACTCAAGAGATCTCGTTGTGTCAGGCACAGACTCAAATGGGAGCCAGTGTAGTGCTGGGTGCCGTATGGAGGTCCTGCCAGGCATCCATTTGCTCTATAAAATGTACATACTGGAAACAGACAGATGTTAAATCTCAGAATGAACGTAGGGCGTAACACCAAGTATTCTATAAGACAAAAAAAGAATTGGAGTTCTGCAGAAAAGGTAACCCTTAAACAACTACTAGTTTTGATGTAAAGGTTTAAATATCTAAAAATAGATGTGAGGATATTGAGAGAGACACAGTCTCAGTTCCACACATAATAAGACACGTAATGTATTATCACAGTTAAAGTGTATCTTTTACTCCCTCAACAGCAAATGCAAGAGATACACCAAGCTGAGCAACAGGAAGAATCTACCAAATATCTGCCTGGCTGACAAAGAAAGGTGCTGAATACTGGATTCAAAGCTTAGTAACACTAAATCATTTAATGCGCCTGCTCCTCAGAGACGCCAGGTAGCGAGGACAGCTCCTGACGACTGATAGGGTTCAGGCCAGACTCGCTGACTTACTTCATACAAGACCCTGTGCAAACCACTGTTGGTTAGAAAAATGGTAACTTCAGTTCCTAAGACATAACAGAACCTGGCCAGCATTTAGTTATGTAGACGCTATTATTATTACATTCTATTTGCCTGACCTCAGCAGTGTAATCACTGCATCCTTTCTGTCCACTCACCACTGAGCTTTTATTTACCTTGCACTTTTGACAGCAGAGCCCATCACTGCACTGCGAGTCTTGAGTCAATGTGCATTTCTTACAACATTCTGCCCCTTCGAGGACACATTCCTAAGGAAGGTAAACATTTACAAAACGTCAGAGAGCAGTGTTATTTTCCTAACACTTCCTAAGAGTACCAACTTTTAAAGATAAGTATACAGACTCACAATAATCGTCTTTCATCTACAAATTCTACAAAGTTTTTCAAACGTAACACCTGCCCTGTACATCTGAGTGTACGGACCTAGAAGGACCCTGAATTACCTAAAAGTCTTCTTCAAAATGACCAGAGACTTACTGCGGAGGTCCCACAATCACACTCCTCTCCAGTTTCAATGAAGCCATTGCCACATTCCGGAGGGTCAAGAAGCTATGGAACAAAAACCAGAGAGGGAACTAAAATACAGAAAAGTCAACAGCAAAGACTCCGAGAGACCTAAGTGCCACACCTGCATGTCTGTCACACCTTCCAGGCATCCTTAGTATATTTTTATTTATCTAAACTAAAAGAAATGACTTTAAAAACTTAGAAATTTAGAAATGTCCACTGGTAGCTCCATTTCATGTTTAATACATGTATGCAGCTTCATATATATTTACATATATAGCATACATACCAAGTAGGTCCTGATAAACGAAGGCAAAATAAAAAGAGCATCTAGTCACTGACTAAAACCAAGCCTAATGGATTCCTGAATTCCATTTCAGTCAAGAGCAAGGGGTTTGGAGTCACAATGTCCAGATTAAAATCTTGACACAGGCCTGGGGTGTGATTCCACGGCAGAGCATTTGCTTAGCACTTGTAAAGTCCTACATCCAATTTCCAGCACCAAAATAAAATAAAATAAAATCTTGGCACAACTACTTAGGCATAATAATAATACCAGCTATTCACTTAATTAATTGGTGTTCCAAAATTGTTTTGAAGATCAAATTTAATCATCTGTGAAAAGATCTTTACTAACTATATTTTCTTCTTAAAGTTATTTCACAAACATGAAAAGCACACAAAAATTAATGTACCCATTGACCTGTTTAATATAAAACACAGCACTTACTATTAACATAGCTTCACAGAGAATGGCAATAATAATTTGCATCAGAGATTAGAACAATTATTGGCCTGTCCAAGAATATATTTTATTAACTGTTTTATTAACTCTATCAATTTTATTATGTTTTGAATATAGTTTGTCCTACAGTGACAGACAAAATTGGTAAATAATTGTTATTCACTACATACATACTGCTCTATCAGAAGTTAGAGTTTTCAGATGATAGACTGAGGTGTACATATACTTGTAAAATGACACACATACACACTTTCATAACTAACTAGGGTCAAAAAAGCAAACCAAGATAAAGAAAATGAAAGAACTCCACTTATTTCTATCAGCATTCTATTACCTCAGAACAGTGCAAAATACCCAGTATTAAAGTTGATTTTGAAAATGGAGGCATTTAGCCCATCAAGGATATGTACTGAGAGGCCAAATTGAAAAGCACTTTTTTTATAGGACCAATGGCTGAAAATCTGTGTTCATAACAACTAGGAAAATTAAGAATTAACAACTCTTGATCATACTTATTACCTTAGAAGGTTTGTTGAACAGGCAGGCCCCACCACCACTATTCAGGAAGTCATGATACTCTTCAATATTACACTGGGTGAACTTTTTGGGTAGATAGTAGCTGTACAGAGCAGAAAATCAACAAATGAGTACAACATGAGTCTCCTGGGTTTTTTTACTAGTCTTAAAATTGAAGATTGTTAAGACTGGGGCTGGGGATTTAGCTCAGCGGCAAAAGCGCCTGCCTGGCAAGCGCAAGGTCATGAGTTCGGTTCCCGGTACCGGAGAAAGATTGTTAAGACTATATTTTTCATTTAAATGAAAGAATAAATGCCACTTAAGTACATTTATATTCATCCTAGAAGAACTGTATTTAATCATTTCTAAGTTCTTAATGCTTCAAAATGAGTTAGGGTTAATAATCATTATAAATTCCATTAATTGACTTATTAACCGCAGTACTAGGCAGAAATAGAGATTATAAATGGACACAGTTCTTATAGGGTAAGTCTTATAGGGTAAGTACCCTTATAGGGTACCCTATAAGGACTGTACCCTACAAGGGTACAGTCCTTACAGTACAAGGCTAAGTCCTTACCCTATAAGGACTGTGTCCATTTATAATCTCTATTTCTGCCTAGTACTGCGGTTAATAAGTCAATTAATGGAATTTATAATGATTATTAACCCTAACTCATTTTTGAAGCATTTCATGCCAAACTGACCAAGAAAACTTGTCTTGAATAAGCTGTTGATTTTATTTCCTTTTTTCTTTCACTCCCTTGTCCTAATAATACAAATTTTATTCCTAATTTAACAACTCTCTTCCATATTTACTTCCTTTTTTCTTTCAATGACCTCCCCTAGTTGATGATCTTATCACTGTCCTCTCTAATCCATCATATAAAAGGGTAATCAAAATATCCAGCGGATGTTTAAATTTTTTAAAATGTATTACAGTAAAAGACACACTGCCATTAATCTTCCTCAAAATATTCCTCCTCACTCTGAACACACTTATCCCATCCTCTTGCTGCTTTCCATCGCAGGTCTGGAAGTTCTCTCTCACGAGTGTCTTTAGGATGTGTGATTAAAAATATGTGCTTATTGCTGACAAGTGCCATTCACTGGAAAGAAAGTGTCTTACAAGTATCACAGTGTGTCCTCATCCACCTTTACTACATCTGGCACCAAGCTCCTTCTGGTTTTTGCTCAAAGTCAAAATGACCACGAAATGTAAACATTTTTAATCAATTCAGGACAGTGAGGCTCCACAATAGTGCAGCTGAAGACATTCATGAAAGAGGACTTCCAGATCATACCACATATGTACATAAAAATATGTGTATTATACACACCTATGCACATGTTCCTTATTCTACTGACCAAAACCTGAGATGAATCCCTGTGCCAAAGTAAAAAATCACGAACTCTCCCGGCAGGATTCTTAGATGCTAAAATCGAATTTGACCTCTTCCCTGCAAAGCTGCCTGCAAGGGTCACAGCCCAGCCCACCTCCTGAACATGGCAGAGCAGGGAGCTCCGTCTGCTCTCCCTCAGGTGGGAGTGACTGGACACCATTCCCATTCACACCAGCTCTGCTTACATGGTAACAGCTGGCCTGTGTGAGCAGGGCTCTTACCTTTATTTCCCCTCATCTGACTTCCTATAACTTCCACACAAAGCTGTTAACTGAATCAAGTACACCTCATTCCTCTACCACAACACAACCCTTCAAACACCTAAAAGCAGATATAGCCTCTCCCCTTTCTCTGCTCCCAAACTGCTGTTTTTCAGGGTAGCATCTATTATATTCAATATGTCCTTAAAATTTTAACTTTCATACCTTTAAATAAGACCAACGGTATTCATTCTAACCATGGTTTCCAATGTTTAGCAGGACAGAAGAACGTCAGAAAGCAAAAATGACAGGGAATGTACCCATGAGAACATATATCTGTAATCTGTACTGTTAGGTGGTATTTGCCATAAATCAAACTACAGAGTCGAACCAAATAATGCTTTATAGAAAGTGTTTTTATCTTGCTTGTATCTTTTTTTTTTTTCTTTTTGAGAGAGGGTTTTGCTGTGCAGTTCAGGTTGGCCTTGAACTCACTTTGTAGCCCAGGCTGACCTCAACCTTCCAGCAATCCTCCTGCCTTAGCCTACCTAGTCCTGGGATTACAGGCGTGTGCCACCATGCCCAGCTTTCCTTGCATCTAGTTAACATAACAAGAATTCCAATGCAATGAGCAACAAATATCAGAAGATAATCATTTGATTTTGCTCTGAAGTATGTTTTGAATTATGTAAATTATCCATGAAAATCTTAATAATTGACCAGAACAACCAGATAGTAAATGGCCTTTAAAGGACAAGGTCTCTAGCATTACATTTAGTAATTTCTGGAAAATTATAACTATACTGGTTCCCTTAATTATTAAACAAAATGTCCAAACAAATTTTAAAAAATATTTTATATGCATATTGCCTCTATCATTTACTTTCCTTGCCAGACAGATCCTGAGAACTCAAAATTCAAGTTTAATCCATCAATATGTATTGAAAACTGTCCATGGTCTGAAGCATAAAATATAAATTAATATAAACTGTAATCCCTTGAAAATGTAGTAAGATGAAGATACGTGCACACAGAATTAAATTGTTAGTCTGATGTTAAAAATTATAGAAAGCCTTGATAAAATAAGCTTTATTGTATAATAATTATAATATTATACAACATATTCAGGAAATCAAAAAGAGTTGAAAGTTCATGTACAATTATGATGAGCAAATTTCTAAGAAGCCGAAAATCCATGCAGGACTGTGGTTAGCAAGTCAAAAAAAGCTCAAAATCAATATATAATTATGGTCAGCAAACAGATCAGAATCACAGGGAAAATGAGACTGCAAATGAGGACCAAGAAAGATTACGGACATCGAAATATTGCAGTAAGAAATTGGAAGCCTATTCTTTACACAAGGCAGACTCTCAGAAGTTCTGAGCAGCATAATGGCTTTAAAGCTCAGGCCTAGGCCGTCCATTCTCAGCAGAGATTAACCTCACAAACATCATGCTGATTGGAAACAGCCAGTGCTCTACCTACAGTAAGATGTAAAACGTAAAATGAAAACACACTGTCAGGGTTTTTATCCAATGGCTCCTGGATCTTCATTGATCATGTGGGACATTCGGAAGATGACTAGATTTAGGGGTGGGATGACTTGCTGTTAGGCAGCAGGGCCTTGTCAGAAGAGATGGGTCACAGGGGTGTGGCCTGGCAAGGCTTACTGTGCTCCCCTTCCTCGCTTCTCCCTTCACTCTCTGCTTCCTGTTTGCCAGGGTGGGATCAGCTCTCTTCCACCACGCCCCTCTGCCAAGCTGGCCTGCCTCGGAGCTGGTGGACCATGCAAGAACTGAAACATCTAAAATCTGAGCCAAAATAAACCTCTCTTCCTTCACGCTGTCGGTGTCAGGTATCGTTTCTCAGCAAAATAACACACACACACACACACACACACACACACACACACACACTCCAAATAGTAACATGAACCAGACGCCAGGTAATGAATGGTGCCCTCGGCTGGGACTAGGGTATACTGCTACAAGGAAGAACTGGACATAAGGAGCATTTAACCACATAGGTAATATTTTACTTTTCAAAACTGAGTGAAACAAGTGCTTACTGTTTTATTCTCGCTGCTTTTTAAAGGTGATGGAAATGGGCCTCAGAAGGGGAGACAAAGAGCCTAAAAGCTGAATGTTTCCAATGTTACTGAAATAACAATAGCACAGGAGGACCACAGTTGAAAGTCAGGTAATAGTAATAACCCTGGAAAAAAACTCGTTTAGAAAGAATGGAAGACAAGAGCCGATAGCTGCTAGCGTGTGAAGGTGGACAGTGCGAGGGCGACCGCCCTGCTGAGAGCAGACTGCGTACCACACTGTGAAGCCAGCAGCGGCAGCCTGAGCTTGGCCTCTGTGGGTGGCACACACATGCAACCAGCAAAAGCTGCGGACCCACACTGTTTTCCTGTTTTTTGCTTTTGAGAGTCACCTTCCTAGTGCACTACTACCTATTACCCGTTCCACTAGAATTGAAGGAGAAGAAAAGAAATTAGGAAATAAGCTGTAAGCCAGTGGTGGCAAACCTATGGCACACATGTTATTTTTCTTTCAGGACAAAAGATGTTTATTTATGACTTGTTTTTTCTAAACCAAAACCTCAGTATTCAGGTTGAATTGCAGGGTTGGCACTTTGCGATAAATAGCTGAGTTCAGAGTTGCAGTTTGGGCACTTTCTCTAAAAGGTTTGCCATCACTGTGTAAGCCATCAAAAACAAACTTGTTTCTCATTTCTTAAATTTCTAGCCTAGATTCAAGGCTTTAAAAAGTCACTGAGGGGGCTGGGGATTTAGCTCAGTGGCAAAGCGCTGCCTGGCAAGTGCAAGGTCGTGAGTTTGGTTCCCGGTACCGGAGAAAAACCAAAAAAAAATAAAAATAAAAATAAAAAGGAAAAAGTTGCTTTAAAAAAAAAAAAAAGTCACTGAGGTCTACTAACTTGACACCAATCTTTTTTTCTTAAATAAGAGACTATTTAAATCCAGATGTGGTAGAGGACACCCATAATTCTAGCACATGGGAAGGGCAGGCAGGAGATTCATGACTTGGAGCCCAGTCTGGGCTACACAGTGAGTTAAAGGCCAGCTGGGACTATACGGAAAGACTACATCTCAAAAAGAAAACAAGGCTATTTTCTGAAAATATTTTATACACTGGGTCACTAAAAATATTTATTTTTGGTTTTCTCATAAATGCTGTGGGAAGAGGCCAAGCACTGTTGTTAAGTATCATATTTCTAAAAAAATAATAGCGTAGCAGATAAAAAGTAAATTATTTTCAACTAGAAATGGCTCACCCAGTGTCTCCCATTATGCATCCAGACCATGTGTCCTCACATTTACACTCACCTAAGAAAAAATGAATACATATACCTTTTTATAAAGTGAACACAGATGCACTGGTTTCTATGTTTAAAAACATTATCTTCACTTCATTTTAAAATATTTATTTAAAAAGTAACACTTGTTTTCCAATTCTGCTTACACTTTAAGTTCTTATTCAATTATAACAACAAAAATACACTTTGTCCCTATTTTTTGTACAATTTTCAATTAAAACATCTTCTCTGATATATTAACAAATGGCCAAAATTTTTAACCATTCACTTAACATGACTTAAAGAAAACCAAATATCAATGAAGTGGGGAAGAAGTTCATGCCTCACGGTAGGATCTCAGTTCCACAGGCCTTCCAGGGCATTATTACAACATTTTGCCCACTTTTCAAACCCTCTGCACCAAGACAGAAAGGATTAAGCAGAAGGACCTCAGAATTAGGAACACGTGATTCAAGCCTTACTTTGACACTTCTCATTTCTGTGATCTTGGACACAGTGTATTTAGGATCTAGTCAGTAAATCTATAAAATAGGCCTAAAAATGGTATGGTTATTTTCAGAGTTAAAAGAGAATCTAGATGTAGGCAATATACCATGCATTCATCTGTCAAATAAGAATATTCTAGAATTGCTAAGCTATTACACAGAGCTATACTTATAAATTTACTAAAATAATAAAATGCTACAATCAAATTGTTGCTCTGAATACCTAGTATTTGACCATTCATGGTGAAGTAACTTTGCATACTTGGGAAAAGATATTCTTCACAAATGTTAAGCCTAGCACTTTTACTAGGTCCATATAGTACCAAATCTATCATGAGGTTTGATTCTGACAATGAAGTTATACCTCTGTGGCCATATGTTTTAAATAAACCTAATAAAACACTATATCTGAAATAAATGCCTAGAATTCCCTACTAGGCCATGTGAAATTATCAACATAAACTCTCACTTAGCCCCTTCTTAAGTTAAAATAAACTTTGAATTTACTATCACATGGCTTTAAATATTTATTACACATGCAGAAATTTTTCATCTGTAATATAAATATTACATCTGAAAACAACATCTTGTACCCTGGCTTATTTATTTTATATCATCGCCTATATTCTTCTGATCAAGCAACTGATTCAAAGAAGCTCATTCTACAAAATATTTCACAGAGTATTTCGCAATTAAATGCAATTAAACCACACATGTACTGTAACTTACCACTTGCTAACTTTCTTTTGTCTGAGATAATACCAATATTATGGGCTAACGACTGAGCAAGAGTAACAGCCATTAAATCAGTTTTTCCAAACTGAAAAAGAAAAATAAAATATGCATAAATGCAATTGTCATTTACAAATAGCTAGAGAAAGGTGTAAGAGTGTATTTTAAAATAAGTAATTTCTAAGCATTTTCTTTAGCAGAGGCTAAACACACTGCACCTAGTGCTAACTGTACATTTGGGAAGTAGTAGTAAGAAATAAATTCATGTTTGATTACATCTTCTAGAATAAACAAGAAAACATGACTAATCTATTTTTGGGCTTAAAAACTGAAATATAATTCTCTCCAAATTTCCCCCAGTAACACTACTGAAAAACTTAGTAGTTGTATCTGATTAAGCTAGTCTTTTGAATAACACAAAATAAAAATAAATGTGAAAACCTTATTTAGCGCTTGTTCATCCTTAGATGTCCGTCTGTACTCCTAAAACTCCCTCCAAATGCAATAGAAGGTAGCTCCACAAAACAAGCACACTATCAACAGGAATTAGTGAGGACTGTTGCCTATGAACACCTAAGAACTGAGAAGATTTATTCTCAATCTGGAGCCTCCCAGATATTCAGGTATTTTTCTTTTAGATCATTTCCAGCAAATTTACAGTATCAAGGATAAAAAAGAGCCCCTTTGGAAAACCTAATGTATTTTTTTGTCCTCAAAATTTGTTAAATGCTAAAGAAAGAAGAAAATATCCCATTGGGTTTTTAGGTGGCAACCAAGTGCACCAGGGAATTACTCAATGTTCTGGAAAATCATTCAGAGTGACAAATAGGGCCTTCTTTTCAAGAAAGGTGAAGGTAAGGATTCTCTATAGAATATGTAAATTATTGCATCTGGCAATTATTCTAACTAGAACATGAGCAGAATTATCAGTATCATCTTTCATTATTCATCCATTCTGTTTTCTGGACATGTGTAGTAACTATACTGGTAGCTAATAAGACATTTTAACATCTGGTGTAGTGGAATGTTAAGAAATTATCTTAAGTATTAGGAAAGCGTCTTCAGCCATCATATCACTTTGCATTGTACAGATGTTCACACCTACTTCATTCACGCCTCCTCCTTTCAGCAATGAGCAAATCCCACCAACGTAAGCTGCCCCGCTCCGGCTACTCTCAAATTGACTCCCCCTTTTAGAAAAGGAAATAAAAAATATTTACTGTTCACAGTTCAAACATAACAGCAACCTCCCATTATTAATCTCAAACTGAGGTATATATGTTTTTTTAAATTGCCTATACGATGCACTGTGAGAAGTATACAAAGTCAATTCCATAGTATCTACCAAAAATACGTTAACTTGACTCTCATAATGAGAAAAGATCAGTGACCAGGGGTCTATAAAACTATCAGCCTATGCTCTTCAGAAGTGTTAAACTCAAAATAAAGAAATGCTGAGAAAATCTTTCAGATTCAAGGAGATTAAAGAGACGTGTGATACTGAGTTGGTTGTTGGTTGGGAAAATATTAGCAATAAAAGGTATGACTGAGACAATTGGTAGAATGTGAATATAGAGTATAGATTACATGATAGTAATGTGTCAGTGTTACATTTTATGGTTTTAATAATTTACTATGATTATATAAGAGAATATTTTCATTCAAATATTCAGTAAGTACTAAATAGAGGGACAGAAAGATGGAAGGGAGGGAGAAAGAAGGGAAATCATAAACAAAATAACAGAAAATATAAATAATTAATGAGTCCTGGTGAAGGGCATATGTAACTTTCCTGTAACATTCCTACAACTTCTCTCTAAATCTGAAATAATATAAAAGTTAAAAGTCACCCAAAAATATTTCTTTTACTTTCAATTACAACTATCTTCAACTTCTAACTTTAGATGACAGACTTTTTAAGTGCTGTAATACATATTTTATTACATCAAATATATAAATTACAAAAAGAAATAAACTCCAGAAACATAGCTCTTAACTTAGAACCAAAAATGGACAGTGCTTAACATTTAAAAGATAGCAACTTTAAAGAGTATATATCTATATTAAGAACATCCCATGAGTATGAGCAGTGCTTTTATTTACCCAGTAAATGCACTGATTAAATCTCTTAAAAACTAAATGAAATAAACATGCAACAACAAAATAATTCAAAATCAAATTACTGAAATTTTCAGGACAATTTCAAACAATCTACACTGTAAAACTCTCTCCAATATCCTGCAATATCAAAACTTAATTGGATTGTATTGTAGAAAGAATACATCTTGATCATAACTAATAGAGAATTCAACACAGAACCAAAAACAGTAATAAATCATTATGAAAGTTACGTACGAAAAAAGGTGAACTGCATCACTTTTCTCTTTGATAAAATCCCTCCTGTATTTCATAAACTCACGTAGGGTAATCAATGGATTTTCAGATATGGCAAACTTGTTGTCAGCTGCCCAGGTTTCCATGGCAACCAATACTATTCTTGTCTTAAGTTGGTCTTTATATATCTAGTATATTAACAGAATGAACACAACAACTGTATATGCAGTAAAATCAAATAGTTAATGAACAGGACTACAAACCTCCTTAGGGAAACTCCTCCAGTTTTAGTTAAAGGTTAAAAAAAGCTACTGTTCTTAAAAAGGATAATTATCATTTTAATTTGTATACATCTCCTTTAAATCACAGAAAATCATATTGTTTACTCAGTAATACCCAAAGAACAAAACACCTTTTAAAAACCAATGATCCTTTTTTGACCAATTTTTGCAACCAAGTCAAGGCTCCCTTGAGTTCATTTTCTTGGCAGCCTGAACAAAAAATTCATGCATTTTTTAGAAACCTGGCAAAAAATGGATCAGTGAAGACTCTTTCCGGAAATACATAGTTTCTATATAACTGACTGGCCCAGATTAACCACCTGGGGTGGGCACTGGTACTGGCCATCCAGGGAAGCTATGAAAGGAGGTACAGTGTGTTTATATAACAGCATCACTGTCATAGCACCAGGAACTCTTTGAAAAAGTGCAAGTGCTACAGGATTTCTCTCTCACCAGAAGGACACTGTAAGTATTTCTGATAGGAGCTACAACTTAACCTTCGTCTTTTGCAGTCTGATAAACACAGGAAGGAATTCAGGCAAATCTGTCGGTAACTTTCTCTCCCAGAGAGAGACCAAAGTCAATAAAGTCCACTGCCAGGGCACCACGAAACCTTGGCTGAAGTGCAACTCCGAGCCTTAAAGAACCGTGTATGTTGTACAAACCAAGCTGACAGCCTCACAAAGTCAAAAAATGAAATCACGAACCAAAAGGAGGAAGTTAGGAGAGTATTTATTGGAAATTAGAAAAAGAAGAATAGCTCCTGGGTCTTAGGGCGGTGGTCTGAACAGGAGTTCAAATTCTGTTCTTTGTCCTGCTCCTCTTTGAATAAGCAGAATTTATTTTAAAGAAAATGAGTTCAAAAGAAACTGGTTATTTTGCATTCTTATATCTTTCCAGGTCTAGGAGGTAGGGAGGTATTGCCAACTAACTTAGCACAGTCAGAACAACCTTTTCTCCTGGAAGGACAGGTCCTTAGCTAATTTATCCTAACCTTTTACCTTTCGTTCTTATGATTTTATTAGGTTTTGTTTTTCTATTTCTAAGCTTCACTAGCTGCCTGAATCAGCTCTTAACTGGGTAGGGCTACTTTTTTTGTCTGACTCTACCCTGCCCCAACTTCTTACTCAAAGATTTAGTAACTAAACACGACAGTATTACTCTTTCTACGAGCAATCTGGAGATATAATTCTTTTAGAACCATGTTGAATCAGGTCAATACTCACTAGATCTGCCATGTTCACCACAGATTTCGCGTAGGTATTGGTATGGACAACAGAAAGCCGATGTTTTTTAAACTGAAAGCAAAAGAAAACAAGTAAAAGGCTTTCAGAGTTACCAGGAGATAATCACCTCAGCAGAGAAAGCACGCTGCAGAAGGCTTTCAGGTCCCAGAGGCTTTCTGTAAAAGATGTCACAGTTGAGACCTAGTTTTTTATTGGCCCTGCAGCCTGAAGCAAGGCTCTTAAAAGCTTGAGGTCTCAAAACATACAAAAAAATTATTCACTCCTTCCATGTCACAGGTTTATTTTGCTCAGGATTGCTATTTCACACCATAACACAGATGTGAACTCTCTATGAATTGCAAGACATACACATCTAAGTAGGGATAGATCAGAAATAGTGAATGTGAACCCTGCTAAAGTATTAAAGTTATGAGAGACTTATTTAGTACAAACAAAACCCTAAGATAAAGGTTACGTTAGATGCGGGTCATACACATCTTTTGTTTGGCTGCAAGTGGTGTTTTAAAAATTAGAAAGGATCACATTTCTGGCTACAATTAAAGGAGCAGCCCCACTCGGAAATAACTGGCACGTGCTGTGAGGCAGCTGCTCCCCTGGAACACACCACATGCTATCTTCTTTCACAGGCCTCACCCCTGTTGTGTTACACCTGGTTCACTCCCGTCGTGTCATCTGTCTGCATATGTCTATAAACATCTGAATTTATAACTACCTAAAATGCTCAAAACATATGTGCTTGCAGCTTATTCTGATTTTCTAAAATCCCAAGGAACAGTAACATTCACTGGATTCAAATAGGTAGGAGGGAAACAGAGCTAGCATGAACAAGGTCGCACCAACCAGTCCCGTAGGCAACCTCATTTATTTAATCAAATATAAACAACACATTTTCCTTCAAGCAAATCATACAGTATAAATTAAAATGCGCCTTTACTTGAAATTAAGTACAATTCAGCAATGTGCAGCACTGAACATTTTAATTTAATCTGGTTTTGTAGAACCATTAATATTGCAACTCATGACTCTCATACTGACTGCAATATGTTTCTTAGTTAAATGTGCACACTATGAGTCCAAATAGCTCAAATCAACAAGAAAATTCTGCCAGATTCTTATCCTTGGACTTCATTAATTGGTAGGTAAGCATTTCCACATGATTTTCAGCATGGCAAGACAGAAATAGAAAAATTGCTTTTCTTTTATTAGTACAAAGCTATGCACTGCAAATCAAAATTTTACTAAGTCGATGTTTCACTTATTTTTTTCAAATATAAAATAGAAATTCCAGGGGCTGGGGATTTAGCTCAGCAGTGCAGTGCCTGCCTGGCAAGAGCGAGGTCATGAGTTCGATTCCCGGTACTGGGGGAAAAAAAAAGAAATTTCAACTTTTCCAAAGCTGATTATTTTAATAAGAGGAGATTCAAATATCAGTAACTAAATGAATCAAGAAACTTCAAAGAGTTTTTACATTACCAGTCACGCAAATATTTTTGGAACATCAATTACTGCTAGTTATTTCCACCTAAGAGTGTTTCCCACTTCTTAGGTGGTTAATAAATTTTTGATTACACAAACATCTTCCCTCAGGTTACAACTTAGGGAGCTTTTTATTTTTTCTGGACATATTTTTTTACCCACCAGTTTTAGCCTAGACACAGACAAGTTAAAAATACAAGCAAATCCTACCATGAGATGGTCATTCACAATCATCAGTTCAATATATTTGGTTTCCTCTTCCACATTACGAGGATATCGAAGAAGCTACAAGGTGGCAAAAGGGAAAAAAATATCATCTAAATACACCCTCTACATTTGGCAAGGTAAAACTGAAAGGAAAAAAAAAAGAAGAAAGCAGTAAAACAAAAATTTTCTTTGTTCCTTTAGCAGTTCTTAACTTTCAGCAATTTACTTAGTTTTTGCATAGTAGTAATAAATTTACAAGGTTCAAAAAGTCAACAAACTATAAAAAGCCTACCACTAGAGTTTTCCTCTTAGGTGTTCCCTATCTACTCAAGTTCCTAATCCATCTTCCACAGTGGATACAATGAGTTACTAGTTTCTTTCAGAAATATGCAAACAAAATTAAACACAAACATGATTTATTTTATACTTCCATTCACTTTGCTCTGCTATACCAAGTGTTTTCATTTAACAGAATACATATGAAGGACATTCTTCCCGGTTAAAAATTTAATCCCAGCATTATTTCCAGGAGTGGGGTGACCAGCACCTTTATGTTATAGTTTCCAAATCTGAGACTAAGACATGCCACTTGCTCTGATAAGGCTCAAAAGATCCTCCAGATGATATAGGGGATTTGGTCAGAATAGTTTGGAGAGCTCCTATGCAGTCTGGGGTTATCTGGTACAGCTAGATCTCTGTGCTCATCAATACATTTCCTCTACTTTCAAAATCATGATCAATGAATGTTACAGACAAGAGCCACTAGGGCAGTTATTCTCTCTGTTCTCCTCAGTTGTTAGACTGTAACACAATGCTCAATGAGATCTATAACATTAACTTTTTCCTTGATGGCATGGTTCAATAGATATTGTACTCTTTGGTCACTTGCCCAAGGGCCATTTTTGTGATAAGGGTGTACAACCCAACCTGAATCAATACCTATGCACTTATTTTCAGTGCTACATGTAAAGCAAACTAAAAATACACTGCCAGATTCTTGCTAAATGCATTTCTAAACTTCAAAACTTTCTTGAAAGCTCTTAATAACCAACTTGATGGAGAATAATAGACTATACTTCTAAGGATGGAAAGCAAAGATAACACTAAACTGTCTCTAATGGATGTTGGAAGGATGAATGCATCTGCTTTGCTAACTGTGGGACTTAATACCACAGACTTTCCAACAAGTCCCAACATTTTCTTAATGTCACAGACTTGTGACGGTGGCCACAGCTTTAAAACACCTCTATTTCATGGGTCTACCACAGAAACCAAGGGTTTATCTACTTAGCAAATGTTAGGTGCAAAGGTGTTTATGAAGAACTTGAAGGAATATGCCAGAAAGAATACTATCCTATTCTTCAACTCAGGAGTCCATAAAAATAGTGTTTTAAACTGACTCTTCAGACCAATTGTTTTTACCTACTTAACTGGGCTTCAAGATTTAGAGTATATGTTCCTGAATCTCCACACCATACATGAAACTCATAGAAGTAATTCAAGGACACACAGGCTTCTGAGAGGCAGTTCAGAGCATATACATAGCCATAAGCATCTCTCTGAGATCAGAAGCACAGCCATACCTTAATAGTACAGGATATGTTTCATAAGCTTCTTATGCTATGCTGTCTTTATCAGTAAAATAAGGATAAGAAAAATACCTTCCTCATAAGCTTATGAGGATTAAATGTTAATGCAGTTAAAATTCTTCCAACAAAGAAGGGCACCTGTTAAGTATTATCACCACTATCTTGAATCCATATGGAGTCCATGAAATAAGAAGGCCATTTTCACTTTCCTACACATCTGTCAACTATACCACTTCCCTTACCCTGACAAATGCCTGAACTAGTATTTACCCTCTCACAGAGACCCAATGTAGATTTAAATGATCAGCAGTTGCCAAGTGTTTTAAAATATCATAATATACAAGATGTGACTGAAAAGTATGGTGTGGACTTAAATAAAAAAAAATTATTACAGAAAAAGATACACTGGCATTAATCCCCCTCAAACAATGCCCTGTCCCCACTTCAAACATACTTAGCCCTTTGTTCTTGCCACTTTCTGAAGCAGTTCTGGAAGTCCTTTTTCATGAGAGTCTTTCTTCAGTTGCACTGTCAAGGCTGCCTTGATATCCTGAGTTGATTTAAACCATTTACCTTTCATGGTCATTTCACCTCAGGGAAGAGCCAGAAGCTGCAGAGTAAGTAAAGCGGATGAGGACTTTACTCACCACGCTGTGATGTTTTTATCCGCCTGTCTTTCCCGTGGGTGGGACTCTGGGGACGCATTCACCTATTTTTTTTTTATTACACCTTGTAAAGACATGAAAGAGGATTTCCCAAACTACTTCAGAAAGTGGCAAGGGTAATCAGGTAAGTGTATTTGAAGTGAGAACAGCATATAAAAGGTAGTAATGGCAATGTCTTTTACTGTAATAAATGTTTTACAGTTTAAATATTCACCACATTTTCAATCACCCCTCGTCTACCTGTGAATACATACCTGCCGTTTGCTCCTTTTTAGTGTTGGCCTTGAAATAAATTTTGGTACAGTGATGTTTACTTGTTGGAATTCTAAAAGAAAATAAATTAGACTGAGTGCATTTGTGAGATTTCTTTAATACAGGGAAAAGTACCTTTCCTCTTATGAATTTTATAACCTATAATGTTGCATTTAATTATTACATAGGACATTAATCAAGTAGGTGCTGAAAATATATAATGGGTAGATGCAATTTACAAAAATCTCAAACATCATTCCTATTCTAATTTTTATCCATTTTTTCATATTTATTCTATAAATATCATCACATTTTTTATCAAGCATCTTCTAAACAGCAGACTTGACCTTTACTTTATTACCAACCTTCTAGAGGCAGCAAAATAAAAAGTACTAAGAATTAAGCAGAAAATAATCACACATTCATAAGTTCATGATGTATTAAGAAATTATTTCAGGGCACTAAGGTGTTTATTTGCTTCCAACTCACTGACAGTCTTCTTTACCCATAATGAAATTTATCTCAGGCTTTGTTTGCTCTTTGGAACAGATAAGAAAATCTGAACCCCTCTTAACTTGTAGGTCAGAATTATACACCATACCTCTGGATATAAGACTAGGTTGTTTGTAAGGGACGATGTCCTACAAAATGAAAGAAAAAGTGCAATCATTCCACGGGGATATGGATTTCCTAAAATACTGACAGTTGAACAACACAAAGCAGTCGAATTTGGAACGTCTCCAGGGAGTATGCTATATATAGGACAGTGAAGGTGAGTCATTATGATTCTTGGATACTATTTATAAAACTGAAAAGTTCTTTGAAATCACAACATTGTACTGCAATGTGATAAAATATGTTTTCTTATCCTATGAGCAACTTATTATATTCATAGGAAAAAATCAGTTATTATCAAATATATAATTTCAAAGGAATTATGAAAGCTCTTTTTACTCAAAGTTATGGCCAAGACTCACATAAATTAGTTAAGTGCTTCTTTTTCATTACCTATGCTTGTTTTTCATTACCTGACTTGTTAGACAATAATGATTTTAAACTAACTTCCAAATTTTTAAATATCTGAGATAGCATAGCAATGGCAACATTGTCAAAAGGGAAGGATAACCATTGCTGGAGAAAACGGTGATGGAGAAGCTGGCTAATGCTATCAGAATAAGGAAATTAGTATGTTACTACTTATGTCATTTTCAAGCATGCTCTTCCCATTATTTTGCTTAAAATGGTATTAGCTTGAGCATGTCAGGAATGTGCTGAATAAAGGAAGCAGTTTTCTTTTGCAATTCACTAATGAGACACAGAAAAGATGACAGAATTAAACCAAATCATATCAACAATTGTATAAACTTCAACAAATGGTGTTAGAATAACTGAGTATCCACACAAAAGCTAAAATGAACTGCAACTCTTGCCTTTCACCATGCATAAAAAATAATCTGGCAACACAACTGATTTTAAAATATTTTTTATTTAAAAAGAATTTTTAAGTGAAAATAAAACTATGGAGTGTTTAGAAGAAAATAATGGAGAATATCTGTTGTACAAGTACTGAGGCCAGCATTTGAGAGCAGGTAAGTATTTTGTAGAGCAAAGAAAGCAATAATCATAAAAATTACTGCAAGTCTGTAAATGGATGTTAACATTAAAACTCCTACTTAAGACAAAACACCATTAGGAAGATGAATAAGCAAGCCAAAGCCTGACAAGAGGCCTTGGATATGTAATCACAGGTTGGCCTTTTGGCCAAGATCAAGAGCAGAGGACAGGTAAATACTCCTGCAATGCAACAAAAAGACACAAATTCCAATTAACGCATATACTACACATCACTTGCCATACAAAACTTAAAGGCTAACATTAAAGAACAGCACACCAAATGTTGGTCAAGATGTGAAGCAATCAGAATTCTCATGTAATACTGGTATGAGTATAAAAATAGCGTAACCACTCTGGAAAAGGTTCAGCAAGTTTGCATAAAACAGTGGTTCTCAAAGTAGAATCCCTGAATCAACAGAACTGGAAACATCCAAGGACTTGCTGGAAATGCAAATTCTCAAAATTTAGCAACCAAGATCTAACTGAAAACTCTTGAGATGGGACCAGCACTCTGCAGCTACCATCCCACCCAGTAACTCTAGTATGTGCGAAAATCTGAAAATATTGATATAGAATTAGATAGATACCTACCCAGTGGCCTGGAAATACCATTCCAAGGTGTTTACCAGGAGAAATAAAAGCATTTCTGTATAAAAAAGGCTGGTACAGGAATGTTAATAGTTGCTTATTTGTAACAGCCCCAAATTGGAAATAATCCAAATACCCCTCAACATAATGAGTGAAAAATTATAGGGTACCATGTCCTAGAATATACTCAACAATTAAAAAGAACGAACTATTGCTATTCCTGACAACATAAAACTCACAGGCATATACTGACCAAAAAATGCTAGACACAAAGAGTAATTCCATTTATCTGAAGTTCTACAATAGGTGAGACTATTCTACGCCAAAAGTAATCAGGAAAGTGATTGCAGATGTAGAAGGCACTGCCTGGAAAGTCAAGGAACATGAGGAGGGATAACAAACGTTCTGCATCTCGGCAGCGCTGCGGTCAGAGCTCACTGAGTATACACACATGAACACATTTCACTGTGTATCATTATGTAAAGACTGCTAGGGCTCCCTAGGAAATAAAACAAGATTTTTTCCCCCTCAAAATGTGTTCTTAGCAACACTAGTCCTGAGAGATGTACCATGTAAAACAAAAGGTCCTATAGTCAAACAAGCGTAGACACAACTTGCTTATATTTCTTTTTCCTTTCCTTTGTTTCTTTTTTTGGGGGTGGTACTGGGAATCGAACTCAGGACCTCATGCTTGCCAGGCACACCCTGTACCACTGAGCTAAATCCCCAGCCCCCTGAATCGTATTTCCATCTGCAGGAAAAACATAACACATAGCAATATAGAAGTACTGCTAACTCATAACACAGTTAGAATTTATTCAGCTTAAAATGAACAGGTTTATTCTTGAGCTCAACTCATACACACATACACACACACACACACAAAAAAAAAAAACCCTACAGTTTTGATGTTGCAGTTCACAACCACAGCATGGCACAAAGGATGAGAGATTACTTAGAATTGATAAACTCCAAGAAAACCCAGAAGGACTGCCCTTAATCAAGACCCCTCAGCATAAGGGTCTCATAAGACAGCCCCAAACTGAAGTGTCTGTGGCTTTTTATTGATAGATCCAGGAAGCTAGGATAAGGTACAAAAAAAGGACATCTGTGCAGGAATTCACATAGGGCACAGGGGATGCCAGGGTGGTCTGTCACATGAATGACTTAGGGGCAATCTAAGTGATACACTCAATCAGGGTATGGGGAGGAGAAGGCCAGAGCATGCATTCCTCAAGGCAGCATGTTTTTGCTCCTACTTGGACACATGGCCCTGCAGGCTGTCCTGTAAGCTCTAACCATGTGTTCCAGGACGTTTTGGGTGTGACCAAAAGTCTCTTATCTCTACCTATCTATCTCATACATACCGCTGGTCAGCATCCCCACATTTTGACACTTATTTGTCTCTTATTTTATTCTAATTTATTA